TATATATATATGTGTGTGTGTGTGTGTGCGGGTGGTTGGGAAGTGCTGCTGTCAAATGCAATGCGTCGCTCGGCTGTGATCGCCTATTGTGCTGTGTGGTCATGGCCCTCGCTCATCCCATTGCCATACATTGGTTTGGCTCCTTTAGGTTGTTCCCTAAAACTTGTATCAGTTGCTTGTCTTGGTTGCTTTTGTAGGGTTTTAGGGTTTAGTGTGTGTGTGTGTGTGTGTGTGTGTGAGTGTCCATAACCACCACCTGGCATCAATATCCTGTCCACTCTCAGCCCATCACGGAGCACGAGCCAACAGACGTCGCCAGTCCCGCTACCAGTCCACAGCCTCCTTCACCACCCACCCAACCACACGCACCACCGGCAGCCACGGACAGGGCAGTGACACCCCCCCCACGCGAAACGGATAACGTCAGCTTCGTCTACGCGCAGAGGGGTTTCCAGCGCAATGTGCGGGCGGGTGTGGCAGTGACGTTTTTCCCCGCACCGGCGAAGTATACTCAGAACCCCGGAAGGAGAGGCAGGGCGGTAAACATCCCTGAACCACCGCCTGAATGGGCAGCAAGACCCCCCTCGCACTACGAGGTCAGTGGGTCACTTTGTTTTGTATACGCACGTGGGTCTGTTTGTTTGTTTTGACTATGGGCTCTTGTCATATGTAATAGCTGATGTTTGGGAAACCACTAAGCAAAACCACTTTGCAACAACACTTAGCAAAACCACTTAGGAACACTACTTGGAAAACCACTTTGCCAAACCACTTAGAAAAACCACATAGAGCAAAACCACTTAGAAAAATCATTTAGAAAAACCACTTAGCAAAACCACTTAGCAACACCACGTAGAAGAACCATTTAAAAACCCCACTTAGGAAAACCACTTGGGGGTTTTGTTGTCATGGTGCGATGGGCATTGGATGTCGACCCACTGAATCAGTTGGCACGTTATGACGTGGAACTGTCCATATGTGCAGTGCGCCGATTGAATACAAATCACAACCCCTAAACGAGCACCAATCCTTTCATATGCACACGTTTGATCGCCCCCACAGTTTACGCTGACGCCTCTCGGCCCGGCCTAGTCGACACTGTTATGTGTTTAAGGGTTAGGGTTTAGGGTTTACCACTTGGTTTGCGCTCGTGCTATCTCTTACGCTGACCTGTCATGTTGTCACTCGATACGAAGACCAACTGACCTCTGACGCCATTGCTTAGTGTCCACTTACGCGCGTGCCTCTCCACTCCCTCACCAGGTGCCGCGTGCAGTGCTATGTATAAGCGATGACGACGAGACAGGGAGCACAGCCACGCACACACACACCACAGCCCATACTACACACACCACAGCCCATGCTACACACACCACAGCCCAGACAAACGCACAACGGAATGGCACCAGGCACGTGTACATGACAGCTGCCAGGGAACGGCTGCTACCATCCCGATTTAAACCTACGCTAAGAGTACAGGTGAGTGGCTTAAGCACGAGTACAGATGAGTGACTTAACTGTGCTATACTCTCCCTGAGCCCTTCACCACATCATCACATCATCACACACTGCAGTGTCAGTGGCAGTGGGGCAAGCATGTTGACTCGACGCGCACAGATCATCTGGCACGAAGGTAGTCACAATTATATTGACGATAGATGGATCTAGCATGTGTATGTGTGTGCCATTGACCATTGAGACACCTGTCAGAATATCTTTACTACAGAACACCATCGAAACCCCACACTAGTTACGCCCAGACCTCACCCATTTCAGTTCATATCACACACACACACACACACATGTCCTTCGTGTTACGTTCAAATCACACACACACATGTCCTTTGTGTTACGTTCATATCACACACACACACACATGTCCTTCGTGGTACCTGTGGTGTGGGGTATGTTTCAGGATTTTAGGGTTTTACAGGCCCACAGTATCTGCCCTCCTGTCCTAACGGCCTTGCGCTTTCGCTTGCGCAGTGGAACGAGCTCAATGAAATCTGCGTCGCCGTACCCGATGGCGTTGTGGTGTGTGTGTTGGGCATGGACGGTGGGTCTGTGCTGCCCCCTCGCCACCACATTGTCCACACCAACTCCACCGTTCGCGTGCACACCACCGACTACGTGCTACCCATCAAAGACCAACGCGACACAGCCACAGGCGTAGTCAACTGCCGAATGGCCAGTGGTCGCAATATCGCTATGGAGAAGGGCCACAGCGCCAACGGCAAGACCCTGCAGGTGTGCAAAGCGTGGGGTGGGTTTAGGTTTTAGGTTTCAGGTGGGTAGTGGTTGCTTGTGTGGGTTGGTCATGGCTGCTTGTGTGTGGTGGTCACGGTTGCATATGTGTGTTGGTTAGTGCAGTGTATGTGTGTTGGTTAGTGCTGTGTATGTGTGCTGGTTTGTCTGTGTATGTTTTTGGTAATGTTGTGCATGTGTGGTGGTCACTGTTGCATATATGTGTTGGTTAGTGCAGTGTATGTGTGTTGGTTAGTGCTGTGTATGTGTGCTGGTTAGTTCTGTGTATGTTTTGTGGTTAATGTTGTGTATGTGTGTTGGTTAGTGCTGTGTATGTGTGTTGGTTAGTGCTGTGTATGTGTGTTGGTTAGTT